AGGGAAAGAATTTTCTAAAAAGTTTCCTACCATGTCTATCCATTCACTCCATAAATACTTATCAAGTACCATTCTACTTCTAGAACTACATCAATGATCAAGAAGCTTCAGAGTTCTTGCTTTCATGAGAGAGAGAGAGGGAAAGTAAACTAGTAAACAAATAAGACAACAGTGATATATGCTGCGAAGGATACAAAACATGGAGATGAGACAGATAACCGCTGGAGTGGGGTTGAGGGGATGCTTTAGACAAGGTAGTCAAAGAAGGCCTCTGGAGGCAAGTGACATTTGTGGTGAGACCTGAATGATGAGAAACCAGTCACATGAAGAATCAGAGAAATTCCAAACTTGCCAGACAGAGGGACTTAAAAAATCTTAATGCAGGGATTTTGAGGCAAGAATGAGCTCAATATTTTGAAGGAGTATTAAGAAGACTAGAGAACACTGAGATAGTGACATGCAATAGGGATAGTCAGTGGGGCAGAAGACAGATAAGGCACTACTTGTAGGTCAGGTAAGGGAGCTGGATATTATTCCAAGTACAAAATGAAGCACTTGGGGGATTTAACACAGGGAATAACATGATTCAATTTTACATTTTAAAAAGATCATCTAGGCTGTTCTTTGAAGAATAAATTGAAAAAATAAAAGAACAATTTGGAGGCTATCGTAGTTTTCCAGGCTTGGACTAGATGGTGGAGGAGATGGCAAGAAACAGATGTGTTTTTGAGGCAGAACTAACAGGACTTGCTGATGGATTCGGTGGTGGAAGTGAGGGAAAAATAATTAAGAATAATTATTCTAGATTTAAGGCCTGAATAATAGTGGTTCTGGCACTGAGATCGGGAGAAAACTGATAGGGGAAGAGGTAGCAGGATGTTAGGAATCTCTATTGGGTTATTTAAATTTGAGATCCAAGTAGAGAAGTTAATAAGGCAATTATGAGAGTCTGGGGCTTAGGGTGAGACAGGACTATAGATATAAATTCAGAAACTGTAAACATAAAGATAGCAGTGGAACTAGATGAGATCACCTAGAGAAAGAGGAGGAGAGTGGTGGAAGAGGTTGGTGGGGGGGGAAGAAAAAAGAAGGGAAAGAAGAAATGCAAAAAAGAAACTGAGTAACAAGCCATTGATATTCTAAAATTTAGAAGTTGAGTAGAAGAGTCAGGCAAGAGTTTGAAAATAAAAAGTCTATGAGGCAGGAGGAAATCAAGAGAATGAAATGTCATTTATGTCAGGATAGATTGGATGACTTCAGTGTTGCTAGGGGTCCGGTGAGATAAAGATAGGGAAGTGGCCAATAGATTTGGCTGTATGGAGATTATCAGCCGCCTTGAAAGTAGGAGGTTTACGGGGAGAGGAGCAGAAGATAGATTGGAATGGGTTGAAGAATATTTGGGAGATGAAGCTTTGGAGATGGTGAGTGTAGAATACACTTTTGAAAAGGCTGGGTGTGAAGTGAACAGAAAAATTGGGAATAGTTAGAAGGAGAGGCACCATGGGATAAAGGGTTGGTTTTTCTTCATAGAAGATATCAAGTGTGTTTGATTGCTGATGGGATTGATCTCGAAGAGAGAGAGAAACTGATTATGCTAGAGAGTAGAGCTTCAGAAGTGGAGTCTGAGAACTGGAGAGGTGGGATCCAGTTTCCCAAGAGTTGACCTACTTTCAAGAAATAAATTTAAAATGTAAAATTCATGATGTTTTATTCTTTAAGAACATTTGTACTATGCCATGGGAGTTACTCTATAGTGAAGACAGTTAGCATTGAGTGTTATATTTTGTATTCCATAAATTATATCTAATTCTGACTTTGGGATTCTGAGTGGCTTTTTTCCTTTTTTATGTATATTATCATTAGGTTGAGTTACTAGGAACTATACATGCATCATTTGGATTCTTCTTCTCTTTCTAATATTTCTATCAGGTAATGCATTCGCTAGAGTAAAAATTGGCGATTACCATTACTATGGCTTCGGGACTAAGAAAGACTATCAAACAGCAGCCAAACATTACAGCATTGCAGCAGACAAATACCACAGCGCACAAGCCATGTTCAATCTGGCCTATATGTATGAACACGGTTTAGGAATCACAAAGGTAATTGTGTTAGTAAAAATCCTAGTAAAAGCAGCTGTATGGGAATAAAAAATTTACAAATGTTTTGCATTTCATTGATGTTATCAAAATATAGAGGAAAGAAGGAAAAGACTTAATATTTGCTGAGTCCCTCCTGTGTGCCAACCAACACACAGGAGTTATTTTTACGATTCATGCCCAAGGATATCACTAATGAGTAGAGTAAATCTAGTCTACGCCAATTTGTTTCATAAATTCATACTTTTTCCAGCGATATTGGTGGACCCTGTCTGGACTTCCTTCATTAAAATTTCCAATGACTCTCAAGCTCTAAGAAATAAGGAGAAAGTGGGAATGAGATCAGAGCTGGATACCAAAGTGGTGTCTTATGAGACATCCACTGTGTATATGACAGTGCTGAGCACTCTAGAGAGGACCAAGAGAAATAGGTCTCCCTCCTTCAAAGACTACACATGACTTGAGGAGATGCAGCATAGTCATTAAGAAAAAGAGCAA